CTGACATATAAAAAAACACACACATACAATCTCACATCTCTCGTTCAAGTGTTTACACGTGTTACAAAGGACACACCAGTTTCATTTACACGGACAAACACAGTTCACGCATAGCGGGCGAATCCGAGCACTGAAAGTTGTTGTTTTAGGCGATAAAAATCGATTACAATGGTTCTTTATTGGGATATGTTTAGTTTAGATATAAGAGCAGATGAATCATTAATCGTTGCGGTAATAAATTAAACTTGAACGGCATTTGAGATCATGAATAAACACTTAAAAAGTCTTTCTGGATAGCCATCAAGAGACATGTTATTGTTATACGATGTCTGTGTTATTTTTAATAGTTAATGATTACACTCGCCCGTTACGACTTACATTCTATTTTATATAAAACGATCTGTAAATTTATAAAAAAAATCAAGATTAATCCTTGAAATAAATTATCGAGACATTTTATCGGGTTTAATTTTTTTTTGACATTCTGAAAAATTTGCCGCCCCTCGGGCCTCACGGGCCTATGGGGTAATGAAATTGACAGCACTGCTTTGGTGTTCCCTTCGATGAATTCCAAATTTTGGATCTCAATTTGAATAACCTAAATGCAATAATATATAATAATAATATAATTCAGAAAATGTTTTGGTGACACATTATTCACATTAAACCAATAAATACTTTTACAGCACAGCTTTTGAAATACAAAACGCACTGAGCAAACCAATGGTCACTTAAGAATTAATTAAAAACTTAATATGAAATCAAAATAAGCATTCTTATTAACATTTAAAAACATATATATTTTCAATAATAATTAAATTTTAAAATTAAAAGAATAAGAACACTATCTAACACTGAATATAACCTGTTTCAACTAGCCAAAACCATTTGACATATGAGTAGTAATCATCTGTCATTTGAATAATATTGTGTGGGAAAAATTTTCAAATTAAAAATGTAAAGTTTCTACGCGGATTTGAAATAATTTCTCACCTTTTGTACCTTCTCTGGATTGGCACGAATTTTTCAAGACTAAGACTGGCCAAATCGGTCTATCCGTTTTCGAGTTTTACAAAATCATTTGAAAGAGAGATCCATTTTTATATATAAGATATAAAAAATGTTAATACTGTAATTATCCTTAATAAAATTCAATGGTACCAACTCATACTTTGCTATAGATATGAAGTGCTGAACTTAATGCAGTTGATTTTATCTGACAATACTATTAAAACTCTACTAAGACTGTGTTTGAGGAGCAGTTGCTCATTAAATGCCTCGTAGCGGGTGATGCATTCTAAATTCATTGCTGCCTTTGTGTTCTCAGTAACAATAACAGGTATCTCATAGAATGCAAATATATTCTGAAATGAGTTTGAATAAGGTTCGTTTGAACAGCTTCTGGCAAATTGTGAAAAAGCCCAATAAAAAAAAATGCATTATAAAGATAATTGCTCAATTCAAATTGAGTACCTTACTTAATGAATATAGTTAAAAAAAATCATTATTTATTAACATAAATACAACTTATCACACCTAACAGTTGAAGACAAAGTAAATTAGGCAGATACATTATTATATATTATTGAAGATTTAAATAAACGATTATTGCAAATAATGCTAGAATTATTCAATTGAACAAACCATATGAATACTTAATATATGATACAAAATTTAATGCAATTTATTTTATATTCCAGTTGAAAGTGATGAAAATGCATCCATAGACTTCACTGTTATGATTTAATAGCACAATTGGAATGATGATTCATCAAATTCCTTCCAGTGAGCGAAGCCTTCCAGATATATTATAGTTCATCCTGTGCCTCCTCTTCAACCATTGTAAAAGGTATTTCATAGAATATAATATTTTAAATGTACTAGTGAATAGGTTTGAGTATCTGTTAAAAAGTTTTGAGCAAACACTGTTTCATTCTTTAATTAAAAAATAACTATTATTCAAGATTATTGTTTAATCACTGAAGATTATCACAGATGAAATTTGATAAATTATTGGTTCGAATGATTGTTAAAAGTAGTAATATTATCTAAATATGGATGGCGCCAGTATGTTATTGGTTCGAATAATTGCTAAAAGTCATATCTATCGGCACGATGTCAATACTATTATAAACTCACAGAAAAATAAGTATAAACTGTACAAAGATGATAATTATAATGTTGTTTACTAAATTCCTGGCGCCATCTGTGAACGGATATACTTTATTGATGCTGAAAGCAAGGCCCCCTAGATTTCTAGAAGGCCTTGCCACAAATATATATATTAGTGGGTTCCCGATCAAGGCAAATTTTACAATAGAAATTTTTGTTTTTTTTTTTGCCCTGATCGGGACTTGAACCCGACACAGGTTTTTTTTGTCGAATTCAAGAGCTGAGCTGCTACCCACTGAGCTAATCTCAACCGAAACAAAATATATAATATATTAGTAGGTAAACCTGGGCTGGGACCCTCGTTACGGAAGTGTTTTACGCTGGTAAAGTGATAGTGTCTATGGCTGATATATATATATATATATATATATATATATGGAATGGTAGAGTCTTGGATTTGTGTATATTTTCTAGAGTTTCGAACAAGAATCCAAAAATAATACAAAATAAAAAACAAGAAAAGTTTTAAAAAAAACAATTTCTTTATTTAATTATTTGTTTATTGTCGACGTTTCGGAACTAGGTACGTTCCATCTTCAGGACATCTGTCAAGAGACATGATCTTGATGAGATTTTAGCAAACAATATGTTTAGGAAAAGAAAATAGATTTTTCTTAAATAATGAATTAAATTGTAAAAAATATAATAATGTACAGAAATATGATAATATGTTCAAAATAAAAATGATAAAAATAAATGAGTGGATTATCAGAACAGGATATTAAACATAATAGAAAAATTTTTTGAAAGTTATGGAAATTTTTTTAAGAAAAGGTTGATGACAAAGTTGAATTAATTACCTGTATGTTTGAATATTTGTTAGCACTTTTTCACTAAACAAGCTTTTTTAACAAAAATGATTTTGTGAGTTAATTTTCCGCCGAATAATTAGATTTTGTAAATCAAAATTACTAAAAAATTTGTCTTTTTTAAAATTATTATTTGAAAACACAAATAATATTGTTCTCTGGATGTTGTTCGATTGGCTTTCGAAAATTAACTAAATGAAACTGGTGTGTCCTTTGTAACACGTGTAAACACTTGAACGAGAGATGTGAGATTGTATGTGTGTGTTTTTATATGTCAGGGTGTGAATACTTAAATTGTTGATCTTAAAAGGAAGTCGATATTAATTGTTTGTCAAAAAGTGTAAAAAATTTAAATATGATTATTACATGATTCATATTTAAATTTTTTACACTTTTTGACAAACAATTAATATCGACTTCCTTTTAAGATCAACAATTTAAGTATTCACACCCTGACATATAAAAAAACACACACATACAATCTCACATCTCTCGTTCAAGTGTTTACACGTGTTACAAAGGACACACCAGTTTCATTTAGTTAATTTTCGAAAGCCAATCGAACAACATCCAGAGAACAATATTATTTGTGTTTTCAAATAATAATTTTAAAAAAGACAAATTTTTTAGTAATTTTGATTTACAAAATCTAATTATTCGGCGGAAAATTAACTCACAAAATCATTTTTGTTAAAAAAGCTTGTTTAGTGAAAAAGTGCTAACAAATATTCAAACATACAGGTAATTAATTCAACTTTGTCATCAACCTTTTCTTAAAAAAATTTCCATAACTTTCAAAAAATTTTTCTATTATGTTTAATATCCTGTTCTGATAATCCACTCATTTATTTTTATCATTTTTATTTTGAACATATTATCATATTTCTGTACATTATTATATTTTTTACAATTTAATTCATTATTTAAGAAAAATCTATTTTCTTTTCCTAAACATATTGTTTGCTAAAATCTCATCAAGATCATGTCTCTTGACAGATGTCCTGAAGATGGAACGTACCTAGTTCCGAAACGTCGACAATAAACAAATAATTAAATAAAGAAATTGTTTTTTTAAAAACTTTTCTTGTTTTTTATTTTGTATTATTTTTGGATTCTTGTTCGAAACTCTAGAAAATATATATATATATATATATATATATATATATATATATATATATATATATATATATGGAATTAGGAATCACTGTAAACGCATGGAACACATTGCTTTTTATCGTGATTTAGAAAGCAAGCATGTATTAGAAAATCATATTTCTAGGATCAATTTCACGAAAATTTATATAATAAATAATTATGAGTAATATAATATGGCCTATTTAACAAACTTAGATTTTTAACTTGCCGAAGGAACGTTTGTTTTTGCAAGAAAATCCGATTTGTTGATTTTATATTTTTTAGACTTTTCTTGAATGAGACCAAATTTGAAAAAAGTGTATGCAACTTGCCTTAAGGCTAAATATCACTTAGAATTAGTGGGTAAATATAAAATTAGATGATAAAAAATAGAAGGTTCTAAATCATTCACTTGGTGTATCAGTTCTCCATCATTATAGCACTAATTACCTTTATTTAGATGTATACTTAATGCATATTTTCATGTATTTATCTATTTGTCACAATTTGCTTGCTTTGAAAAGGAATGTATAACAATCAGAACATTATCAGGATGTACATAACACCTTCATAAGTGTATCCTTCTAATAGTATTTTTCTAGTTCCGGTTTTGGTTTTAGCAATGACAATTTTCTCTAAATTTGCATGACTTCTAATAGATGTTCTTTATCAATTATTATAGGCTGAAATAACACCTTGGATTAGTAGTAAACACAATATGGGCATGGTGTTCAATCGAACCATCTGGGAAGGAATTAGGATGTGTTCTCCTCACTTCTGCACATACGATGATTACAATTGGGACTGGTCCTTGCAGCATGTCTCTCATGTTTGTTTAAGGAACAAACTACATGCTATAGTTCTTAGAGGGCCTAGAGTTTTCCATATTGGAGAATGGTGAGATACAAATCTTAAATTCGATTAGTGTAGAACACGGTTTATATTTTGCCATTACATTTATTTCAGTGGCGTTCATCATAAAAAGAAGAACTGCGAATCGGCCGCAATGATCTCTAAAGTGCAGCAGGTGTTGAAAACATCTGAAAAATATCTATTTCCATCGAAGTTGAGTCTTGTGATGGCGAGCCCTCTGAAGAAGCAGAAACTGAGAAAAGGCAACGGGGGCTGGGGCGATACCAGGGACCACGCCCTTTGTTATAACATGACATTAAGACTCAGGTAGCTTAAATAATTATTTTCTAATTCTATAAGTATCATATTATAGGCCAGAAACAGCATGTTATATATTTATATCCGAAATAATAAGTAGATTTATATACGAACAGACAAGTGTATCCAAGGAAATAAATTTAAATTATTTATATTATTAATGGTAATTTATCAAAATTCAGATATATATATATATTATATATATAATATATATTATATATTTTAAATTAAAACAGCATATGTATATATATATATATATTATATATATGCCCATTAAATTCAGAGCTAGTTAATTGATCGATGAGTACTTAATCATTTTTTTGTCGAAATTGTTTTAGATTTTTATTAGTATAATTCGGTATATTATCAAAATATTATACTTATACCAATCTGTTTTTATATTTTTTTAAATGAAATATTATATTTTATTATGAATTTATTTTAAGCGTTAAAATTTATTTAGATATTTACATATTGAGGCAGGCGTATGTTGAAAACTGCATTTTTTTGTTATTCATCATTACACAATTATTTATTTAAGCGATATTAATATATTAAAATACTAAATAATATTAAAATGGTTCTACAAGACAATATTAATCATATATTAGTTATTTGAAATATTTTGCCTTTCTAAATTTTAGAATTAAGCCTAATATATTGTGTCATTTTTATATATGTGATTGTCGACTATGGAAAAGTTTTCGTAATAATTAAATATATATTAGATAAGATTATTTAAATATTATAAAGTTTTAAACCTCATTTTTGGAACAAATTTTTATTGTGATGTGTATATAAAGTTAACACCAAATCAGTAAGTAGTAGTTACCGTCGTTGATTACATGCCAAATATGTTTTTAATTAGTTTTATTAACAATATTTGTACTTATAATACGTATTACTATTAAAATAGATGCAATACTTAGACATTTAATTTTTAACAGGATTGATTTTTAAAACAGAAGCCAAACGTAATATATTTACTTTAAGTTATTTCTAGTGATGCCATTTATATACTAATATTTTTATTATGTTCAAGGTTAACTATATTAAATTTGAATTTGCTATCATCAATGGATAAATAAGTAAAATAAAATGCATTGATGGCCATACTTATTTAAATTTTAATTATTTTATTTTCAAAAAAATCATTCAAGATGACAGCATTTTTTCAAAGGTTTATTAGTATGATAAAAGTATTTTTTGAATTTTGTTTTTACTTGCTTTCAATAAATTATTAATCAATTAATTAATTATTTTAACGAAATATTTAGTTTTTGCCGCTTAAAGAATATACATTCGTGCAGTTATATTCTTATATAAAAATTATTCAAAGGAAAAATGAATATAATTTTGTTTTTATTGTGATAAATAAATAATGTAAAATTAGGTTAATTATTATTATGTTTATTAATCAGATCAAATGAATATTCGATAATAAATAAACATTTTTTTCATTGTTTCTAGTCATATTTATCCTAGTAAGATTTAAATGACATGTTTTGTTAAATCAGATATTGAAGAGCACTTATTGAAAGCCCATTATAAAACTGTAAAAAATATTTATTAAATTTGCTTTATAATTTAATTCATAAAATTTATGGATAGTAATTATACTCAAACTATTATATATATAATTATAATAAATTGTACTATGATCAACTTAAATATTTAATAAATGATCAATGGAATGTAAGCATCCTAATATTTTTATTATATTCACACACACACACACACACACACACATATATATATATATATATATATATATATATAATAACAATTATAGGTTACATTTATTTTATTGTAAATAAAGAAAGTTTGCCTTCATTGCTGAGCTTGTAAAAGGTAATATTTTCACACTTGTTAAATTATGTAATAAGTTGATAAAGGCACTTTGCATTATGAGTTGCAGTAAATATATTTTATTTTATTAAATATTCGAATTCCGATTAGTTCAGAAAAATTTATTAAACTCATACTATTGAATAGTTATTAATTGTATTATACTAAAATATGTTGTTTAAAAACATAATTAATTTTGCACGTTTTATGTATTTAAATTTAATAAAATTTATTGTTAGTGTGTAATTGCAAGAATTGTGCAGGTACATTCAGCCGCAAGGTAAGTCTTATTTATAAATTATAAATGAATATATATTTATATACATGTATATATTGCATTTATAACATATATACATGTATATATTGATAATTCTTCAAAACCGGGACCTTAAATATAAATTTAATAGCGTATAAAGCGATATATATATATACATAAATATATATACATATATATATATATATATTGATATTCCTTCAAAACAGGGACCATAATTATATATCTAATGGCGTATAAAGCGATATATATATATATATATATATATATATATATATATATATATGTATATATTGATATTCCTTCAAAACCGGGACTATAATTATATATCTAATGGCGTATAAAGCGATATATACATGTATATATTGATATTCCTTCAAAACCGAGACCGTAATTATATATCTAATGGCGTATAAAGCGATATATACATATATATATTGATATTCCTTCAAAACCGAGACCATAATTATATATCTAATGGCGTATAAAGCGATATATACATGTATATATTGATATTCCTTCAAAACTGGGATATCTAATGGCGTATAAAGCGAAATATAAATGTATATATTGATATTCCTTCAAAACCGACACCATAATTATATATCTAATAGCGTATAAAGCGATATATAAATGTATATATTGATATTCCTTCATAATTATATATAAATGCCTTTAAAGAAATTCAATGGAAATCCAATAAGATTCCCAAGCTCTTAAGGCGAGTGCTTGCAGCGCCTCTATGCTAAATCGTTCCCAATTCGTGAGGAACTAACGTTGACAGTTCTTGCGTAAGGAGGAATCCAATAAGATTCCTATGTTTCTAAGACGATTGCATGCAGCGCCTCTATGCAAAAATGTTCCCAATTCGTTAGGAACTACGTAGTGACTACCGGGTTCATATGGTTCTGTGTTAGATGGCGCCACCGACCGTCAAACGTCCTACTGTCTAATGGCGTATAAAGCGATATATAAATGTATATATTGATATTCCTTCAAAACCGGGACCATAATTATATATCTAATGGCGTATAAAGCGATATATAAATGTATATATTGATATTTCTTCAAAACCGGGACCATAATTATATATCTAATGGCGTATAAAGCGATATATAAATGTATATATTGATATTCCTTCAAAACCGGGACCATAATTATATATCTAATGGCGTATAAAGCGATATATAAATGTATATATTGATATTCCTTCAAAACCGGGACCATAATTATATATCTAATGGCGTATAAAGCGATATATAAATGTATATATTGATATTCCTTCAAAACCGGGACCATAATTATATATCTAATGGCGTATAAAGCGATATATAAATGTATATATTGATATTCCTTCAAAACCGGGACCATAATTATATATCTAATGGCGTATAAAGCGATATATAAATGTATATATTGATATTCCTTCAAAACCGGGACCATAATTATATATCTAATGGCGTATAAAGCGATATATAAATGTATATATTGATATTCCTTCAAAACCGGGACCATAATTATATATCTAATGGCGTATAAAGCGATATATAAATGTATATATTGATATTCCTTCAAAACCGGGACCATAATTATATATCTAACGGCGTATAAAGCGATATATAAATGTATAAATTGATATTCCTTCAAAACCGGGACCATAATTATATGTCTAATGGCGTATAAAGCGATATATAAATGTATATATTGATATTCCTTCAAAACCGGGACCATAATTATATATCTAGTGGCGTATAAAGCGATATATAAATGTATATATTGATATTTTCCTAAGCCGGGACCGATATAGCAATCCGATGGGAATCCAATAAGATTCCTATGATTCTAAGGTGATTGCATGCAGCGCCTCTATGCAAAATTGTTCCCAACTTGTGAGGAACTACGTAGTCACTACCGGGTTCATAGGGTTCTGTGTTAGATGGCGCCACCGACCCTCAAACGTCAAACGTCCTGCTGTCAAACATATATATTTAATAATTGAATTTAATTAATTGAAACACATTAATACATAGTATATTATGTTTATTTCAATATTACAAGTTTGATAAAATTGAAAAATTATGTAAAAATATACATTTAGGTAAGAATTAAAATAACACAACTTTGATTTATTCTATTTATATACTGATAAATACATATAAAAGCTATTTTTTAATAAACCTTGAATATACAGTTTTAAACCATAATAAATTATATGTACGAATGCACATATATTCCGGCCTCGATAAAAAAAAAATCATTTTTATTTACATGATATATAATTAAAGGTATATCTTATATAAACTATTTATTTAAGCTAGAAATAGTCAATGATTGTCTAAAATATTGCACAATATTTTTTCCTGATCAATATATTAAATTAATACGAGTTTCGAAAGGCAACATTTTGAAGTAAAAACAAGAATACTATGATTAAACGGATTATAACTACATTGATCTATTTATTCCAGAAAAACTTTAAGACTATAAGAAATAAAAACTATAAGAGCAATGTATTGCAAGAATAAATATATATATATATATATATATATATATATATATTACAATGTCTTTTCAATGCAAAAACCTTCAGCAAGCAACGAAAATAAATTTCACGACAAACATTTTTTTTAAATAAGTAAAACCATGACCATATACAGTTCATGTAAAAGTGTGATAAGTTAATAAATTACCAAATGTTTTTTAGTTTAAAACTATATGCGTAAGAAAAATAAAATAAAATTCTAATATTACATGTGTCATTGATCTCAACACAGCCCTAATGCATAACTTACAAAATCACATAAAGCTATAATAAATTTATGATTAGTTTCCTATTATTTGTAGTATAGACTAAATGAAATTTGACTTGTATTTCAAAAATATTATTTGAAAACAGATGCAAAAACTGTATGATAAAAGTAGCCAGAAATAAGATAACTAGATATTTTTGAATTTATAAAATAACTAATACAATACCTAGATACAAAAAATTACGCAAATATAAATAAAAATGGAACAATAAAAATATTTAACGAAACTGGATATACAAATAAAACCATTAAAAGGTATTTAATCTATCAAACTCAGTCTGCTGTTGGTTTTCCTCAATTGGGCCCTCCATGGTATAATTTGGGCTGTATCGTCACTTTTGTCCGAGGGCGATGGTGAAGTACGGCCCTTGCCGTTGGTGTTGTTAGCATTATCCTCCTTCCTGGCTTTATTTGCGTCGTTTTCCTTATTTGCTGCAGCAGCAGTTTCTGCAGCCAGTAAAACGGCTGAAGACATCGCTATGTCATCGATGCTCATTGCGCGCTTCTTCCTGGTCAAATCGCCACGATGCCATTCAGGGTCATCGGAAACTCGCGGAGTGTACAAAGTTTGTCTAAAAAACACATTTATACTAGATTCTGATCAAATCATAATGTTGGGAAATTAAAATTTAGTAATTAACTATACTGTGCAAACCAAGCCAAGAACATCACAACACATAACACATATCAAACAAACAACAATCGAAAGCCTAGAGATATGTTGTAAGGTGATGGCTGGTTACACATCTTTTGCATTCTACTATATAATAGTATCATTAAAAAATGCCATGCTTTACTCGTCTGAGATAATGGTGGTGATGTTGTCCGAGGACCCTTAAGTCTCTCTCTACCCTTAACAATGTATTCACTGCAAACTATTCAATAGCTTACTCGCTGTATAATTTCATCATCAGACTTTTAACTTACTTCAATTTATTTTCATTTTCTTCCTTTTTAGCCAATAGTTGTCTCTTCCAAGCAGGAATTGACATTTGTCTCTTCTGCTCAGCTTCGCGGATTAATTGCTGTTCTAATTCTTTCCTGGCGCGTTCTGCTGCTTTTTTCGCCAGCATTTGTCGCTTCCATTCCGGAATTGTGTTTCCTGCAGGATCGCGCTCAGGGATCTAAAAATGATAAAAAAAATCCTTTAATTTAAATTTAAATGCCGAAATGTATCATAAACTGATCCATAGTTGTAGCCAAATTTGAGGCACACATATGGGGCTGGGTTTTATTTTGAAAATTGTTAAAATTCTTTTCTTTTATTTGCAATTATGGAATCGGGCTGTATATTTCTTTTATTATATATTATATATTTTTGTTCTAATCAACAAAGCTATAAAACCCAAGAGTAAAAACCACTGAGTACACAAATTATGTAAAATGTTATCTACGATAATATGTAAAAAGTTCTAATCTAAATCTGAATATAAAATCTTTTAATTTCTATCTGATACCAAAATGTTTTCTACAATCATATAGATTTTGAAACAACTGAAATGCTTGTCATATTTGATATCGTACTAAACATACTTTGAAAGCTTAATTTTATATAATTTTGCGTTAAGTTTGTGTAATTTAAAATTTCATACATTAAGCAAATTGTTATATTATTAATAATCAGCTTCAAACTATTACTTTTATTATTAAAATAATAAATATATCTACATGGTAGATCATTATGTCATTTACATGTTCACGAATGAAATGAATTAAAGTATTACTAATTTGCTTCTTACCTTCTCAACAAAATTATTAGCAGTAAATTGTTTGGTAAATTCCGAATAGAATTCCTTGTCATGTAAATTTTCCATTTTTGCCCGCTCGACTTTCATTTTTTTGATTCCTAAAAAAGTATTATTTTATTAGCATAGATGCCATATGTGTTTATTTATTGAAGTTACAAATGAAAACTCATCCCAGTATTATAAATATATGATTTTTTTAATTTTGTATATTGAATTGTTTACCTGTGATATCTTTAGACATTTTAAGTTCGGCAATTAAATCCGTTTTTTGATCAGAAAATGGTTCGAGACCGATGGTCGACAAACTTTGCATTGATGCACTACGGGCTGGTGCAGAGAATGTTTTCCCCAACATTTTATCTGTTCTTCTTAGTTGAACACTATGTAAATCCTAAAAAGAAATGATATGATTTAATTTACGAATCAATTAGCTTTGACTACCTTAGTTACATTGTAGAGAAACAGGGAGTGTGCCCCGTGACTAACTTTTTATGTGTTGAAGTAGGAATGTAAATCCAGTGTTTAACCATGACTTATATGTGTGCTTTATCCTCACCTGAATGGAAATTGCTGATAGGGGTTGTTGTTGTTTTCTGGTGTTTGTGTCGAGCTGAGTATTTGTTTGAATGAGATACGGCAGGGCAGTCTCTCCTGAGGGCAACGGAGGCGGCAACGGCGGAGGCGCCGCGTCCGGGGCACGATCATCCAACTAAATTCGAATTAGAATTTTATAAAATAATATATACTAATAATTACATTTTTTATTTAATATAATTTAGATTATTTAGTAAAATGAAATCAATATAATTTGCAACTGATCTGGAAGAATCTGAGAAAAGATCTGACCGATCTTTACAAAAAACGCGATTCCAAATTTGTGGGACCAAACGCGAACAAAAATTTGTACACGTTTCTGCTAACTATAAAGAAATGGCTCGGTCGATCGGTGCACGAAATTGACCAACTAATGATTCAATTATAATATTAGTATAAAAATTCATTTATAAAAATTATGAGAGTTTGGAATTGTTCTTAAAAATTTTTACCTAACTTTCTAATGCGTTCGTAATGAGTTCACTTTTCAGAATTGTATGCTTCATGAACCAGGTCAAGCGTTTAAATATCTCACGGAGTTTTTTTTAATACGATAATTATAGCAAAATGGATGCGTTTAAAATTCTTAATTGAAATATATACGACCGTAAATGATATTAATTAATTAATTCGAAAGGTATTAATCGATTTTACAATCTGGGTATTAATGGACTCAAACAGAGAAAATAAAATTTAAACGCATTTAAAAAAACAATAAAATTATACACTAATTAGCGTGTTAACAGTTATCGCATGCTGAATCTTTTAATTGTTTCAATTTGCAACTAAATAAAAAGAAAGAATTAGATATTTAAGTAATTACAACTTTAAATAGAATCATGCATAAATGAAGTATAACATTTTCTTTAATTCATTTATTTGCTGTTAAATAAAATAAAACATGCATAGTGAATACCTTGATATATGAACTGCATATGTTCAATTATTATTTGATAGTTGAAATAAATTTTAACTAATCAAAATGCGTGAGCAAACTATATACTTTCAAAAAATAAAAATTTGAAATTATCAACCTTTCGAAAAATTTACACTGTCTTCAAAACAACTAACCATATTCAGATCAAATTTCATAAAAAACATTATGGCAATTGAGCAATGAGTTAAACTTTAAAAGATATTCGATAAGATACTTTTTATGCAATTTAATTTAATTTAATTTAATATATTTTTATGTTGTTAATAAATGTTGTTTTTTTGCTAATTTTAATACACTTCTATTTAATGATTTCGACAATTATGTTATGTATTATATGCGAATTTAAAACAGTATAAGCGTATGTTATCAATTGAAAGACTTGAACACTTTCTCCAAAGAAACTTACTATTTTCTTAGCATGACACTGTTTAATTAACGTCTAGTAATATTTTATTAATAAATAAAATGAAGATTTCCAAATTGAAAACAAAAAAACTAAATTTCACACAAAATTTCTACTTCACGTTTACGTTCAGGTGCACGATTTAAATGCCACCTTCGTATTTAACGATAAAAATAGTAAATTGATACTTGAAAGTTTCTTATATTGTTAATTAATGAAATTTAAATTGATTAAGTAGTAGAAAATGTCGTGTTGATTTTTTAGAGTTCTTTTCTTACCTTGAAAATCATGTAGAGTCAACTTAATTCACATTTCACAAAAAAGAATATTTAAGTAAGGCACTACATTTAAAACAAAAAAAACGGATTTAACGATAGAATATTGAGAGTCAACTTCATATTAAACCAAACAAATTTATAAACACTTTCCTTGCTTCAATAGTTGATTAAATTAAAACCAGTTTGAATAATAAAAAAAAGTATATTAAAATATAAAAGTTAATCCTTCCCTTACCTTGATAATCATGTAGTCTTCCGAGTCAGTACTATTCCGTCCACTCAAGCTCCTCAAATATTCTGAAGGCTTAATCAACCTATTACCGGCTGACACATCTGGTGCCGGGAAGGCAGGAGGTACGAATTGCAAATTCCTGTTCTTGTTCGCCAAATGGCATCCGGCGCTCCTGGTCTGTTGCTGCTGCTGCTGCTGTGATTGCTGTGATTGCTGTGATTGCTGGTGTATTATGACTACACTAGACGCGCTCTCTTCGCCGCTGTTGGACACACTGACCGGCGGCGAGGATGCGTTCACCGCTGGAGACGAGTCGGATTTGTTGTTTGCTGGAATGGAACAATGATTTCGCACATGAATATTGTTATTAAAGCAAAGCAAAGCCCGGACACACCGAAACCACCACAGGGACGAATTGTAACCAGAAAATGGAAAAGGCAATGTTTTGGCGTTTGGCCATCTGAAAGGTTTTGACGCCATTGGTTTGGTTTGGTTTCGATGCACATTTTCTATTATATAATCTAAAAGTATAGCAATGGGTTGTTGCACGATTTTGACTGGGTTGTGAGTGAGTGGGGACTATTGTTGTAGATACCACCTTTTCTACTTGATCTTCTGACCTTATTAGTTGTCTTCCAATATGCATCTGTTCATCTATAACAGCGGTCGGGAACTTCTTTAATCATTACCTCAAAATATTTTTGTCTATGTTGATATTACCTCATTGACGAAGAGAGATTACCCCCGTAGCAAATACAGTAAATATCAATTAACTAGTGGGGTGCATGGCATGGCGCCTTAAGGCAAATTGCTAGAACTTCCCGCACCGCAATTAAAAATCTTGGTACGAAAGCCAGAAAAATTTACACAAAATGTGTACACATCTATAAAATATCTCTATAAAATATCTGAGAATTTGATGTACATATGTCCAATAAACATTTTTTGACCGCCAAATAACATTTTTTTAAATTATTTTCATTGAGAGTCCATAACCGCTGGATCTGCCTTCCCAAAAATTTAATCGGTTTTTCATCTTGTCAATACAAGTAAAATGTTTTTTGAATTATTAAAATCGGACGCTCCGTTCTCTTAAAAACTGTCTTACCGTTTCTGGCACTTTTTGCCCCGTATCTTCGGAACGGCTAGGCCTGCCTTTGCCAAAAACTAATCAGCACGTCTCCTTATCAATACGAATCGAATGTTTTTTGAATTATTCAAATCGGTTGATCAGTGTTCCCGAAATCGTCGACGAAAATTTGTATCCGCACACACACACCAATTTTTCTAAGGTATGCCAAAATATTCAGAAAACTTTGAAACGCAAAGATATATAAAAATTTTCATTTTCGATTTTTTTGCGATTACTATAACTTACCCTACGGGAAGTTAAAAATGTATACTTTTTACTCTCAAAAATTCCATTATTACCCTATTTGGGGTGATTTACCTGGCTACTGATCTATAATAAACTTTACCAGATAAAGCAATAATACTTAACTTTGACCAAGATTTTTGCATGAGGAGAATTTTTATGTCGATTACTCTACTTTTCTGGTTTCATTCCGATGCAATTCTGTTCATCTTTAATATAGATTTAAAAAATTATGTGGAATGTGAAGAAATGGGTTTTTTCTTCCAACTTATACATTAAATATAAATATATATATATGTTCATCTTTAATGCAGCTAAGGAAAAAAAACATTAAAACTTTACTTAGTGAGAAAGTGAAAATTTAAAATGTCTACTTTTACCTTCGTGGGCTGATTCAGATATAATTATGTGCATAATTCATAGGTATATTATAAAAATAACGCGGAGATTTAAGTTTAATTATAAATAGCGATAAGATCAAAGTTTGATCACAGGATATTGAAGTTGGAATCTTTTATGACTATTTTTTATCTTATAAGTCCATCTACTATATAATTTTAAAAAAAAAGCAACGAGACTTCAGTTTAAAAAAAGAAAGTGGGGAATATTGATGGCAATTTTCTCTATTTTTTATTATAGCTACTTTAGATACGAAACATGATTGAAATGTAATTTAAAACAAAACTTACGAAATAGTTCTATATGAAGCAATTTTCCAAGACATTATTTTAGATTCGGTAAAATGACACTTATATGTAATTTTACTCCTCATACCGGACTGCATCATAATATTCTTCATAATGTTCGTTCTTAGAATTTTCTTACTCATTTCGAAAACTTCAACAACTTTATCAATGATTTGTAGGTAAATAATTAAAGTTACAGCGCAAATTATCTATACAAATATGTATAAACCAAAAATTATTTGATAGAGATAAAATAGCTATAATTGCTTATAATTTAAATTGTTTGAAAATCTTATTATCTTATTGATAGTTATTCTATCGATCTAACATATTTCACCTGGGTATTTAATATCAAGATGTAATTTACTGGCAAAACTAACAATATTTTCGTTGCTTGAATATTTATCCATAAAAGACTAAACTTGCACGTACGTAAATATATTTATTGACAGAATACGTAAAAATAATCCAATAAGTATATGATGCATTTTTTTTTAAAAGTTTATTGAATTTATAGCAATTTTAAAATCTTTTTCACGATGCCGAAGAATTAAAAAGAGAAAAAAAAAATAGATGCATAAAAAACAATAAACATAGACAATAAATTAGTATAAGGTAAGGAATAAATTTTTAAAATATATTGATCAAAACATTTAAAAAGTTTTGGTTAATAAATCTTCGTTAAACAATCTTAGAATGAAAGTCTTATTCTGAACGGATGGGACAAAAGCCCTTTCATGCCATCATTCGTCAACTGGTCTGACGATTCCCAGAAGTTTTTTTCATTGTTTTCTTCAAATGCTTACATAAGAAACGGTTCAAGTAATTATATGGAAGACAACCCAAGAACAGTTTTATTTTAGCAATTATATTTGACAAACGCCCACCAGCTCTTTACTCCGTAAAAAAGATTATAAAAACATCTGCTTGTGAGTCTTATTTGCAAACGGAACCTCTCACACGGAACAGAATCCCTAAATCGAAAGTGAAGAAAATTGAATATAAATATTTACTGACATCATATAATGCATAATCTCGTCTAAAAAGGGCAATCAAAAAACTAGATGAAAGGAAATTTATTATTACGAATAATATACATATCTGTCTTAGTTCGGAAAAGTTAACATCTTGAAATTTTCTTCGTATATTAGCGAAGCAGAACAAACTACGAAACCCATCATTTGCAATTGTAATTTACTAAGAAAGCATTTTTATCACGTAGGAAAACAGCATGTATAGATAAAAAAACTACTAACTTTCTGCGAAAACAATTTTTAAAAATTTGATGAAGTATACGTACAAATGACGAAGTGACGAAACCACGTTCATCTATATGTAATTTAATTACCAATTGCTGTTTACTATTTAAACGAAAATACTACTTTAATTACCCATTTTTGAATTCTAGTAAATTTCAAAAAAAGTTTCTAGAAAGTGCTTGTTTAAATTTAACCTACTTGAGGTGTTATTCGCTTTATAAGCACTGATTATTTTCTAGATCTCACGGTTGGATCAATTACGAATCAAATGGGTGCAAAATTTGCACGTTTACTATTTTTGATTGTTCGAATATGATTCTTTACGAATTCGGAGAATTACACGCATAATTAATTTAATTTGGAAATCAAAGAAATAAATGATTTAGTATAATATACGTTAATAAAATTTAAATAATTGCTTATCAGTGCATCAGTGCATTCCCAAAAGTGAGATATATTTGTAACATAATTAAGGAATAAGATTTTACTACAGTTTATAGAATACATACATAATTCAATTTATTAAATAACTGAATATGAAAATTTCAGTAAACGATGGTTTTACATTGTTTTCGGCGAAAACAAAATTACGCTAAAAAATAAGTTTAAAATAAACAGATAGAGAACTCCCAGAAGTCATTGTCTAAATAATCTCCAAACCGTTGTAAATTTAAAAAATTTAAAACAAATTTCGCGAAATATTAACTTTAATGCACTAAGAAACAATTTGATGGGTATAATAACTTGAGTGTTCAATTAAAAAACCAATACAATATCGAATTTGAGATACAAACCTGATACACAGCACATCATTTTGTTTTAACAAAAAAACTTTGTAAAAAACATTAAAAAATTAAACTTATAAAAATTTTACTTGTTTAAATATTATTAAAAATAAAATAAATTCATTATATATCAATTGCTTAATGTTCACTGAGTATATATTTATATATGGATTCAGATAGATGACAACAATCTATGCACAAAATTTGCGTACGTTTGTCAATGTAAAACACTTTAGATGAACGTTTCAGAAATTAGTAATAATTAGGAATTGGTTGCTAATAATAACACTTGTCATATTTGTTTTATGATGAATACATTATGCAAATTGATCATTTGCGAGTGTATTTAAATTTTTACTCACAAATATGATAAGTATTCTTTTATTTCCATTTTTTCCATAAAGTTAAATGGATCAGATTAAAATGAATCATTTGCTGATAACGAATAGAAGGAAAATAAGTGATCATTAGAAGTTAAAAGATATGTTATATATTACCTAACTAAATATATAAATAAAAAAATATGTTTCTTACCTAATGGTAGATTTCCCCTGGCTTTGGTAACCTCACTAGGTTTAACAGCTGGTTCTTCCAAAACTCCTGGCGGAGGAGGTGGGGGCGGCGGAGGCGCCTTCATATCTATTGGCACTGACACCACACGTTTTAAACCCATTTTTCCTGCATGATTTGCATGGTGCAGTGGTAAAGAATTGTGCCGAGAACTGTCGTTATTATTATTGTTCAACGTATCAATTCCACCATCAACTGTATGATATAGTGGTTGAGAATCATTGGTGATAGGTTCGGTGATGAGTTCCTTTAATTTGTTGTTAGGTTGTTTTTTAGCACTGTTCTTCTGGAGTTGCACCTTTTCTGCTTTGTGTGGACGTGATGCTACGTCGTATTTTCGGTCGACGTAGACTGTGCTTAAGGTGCTGGATGTGTCCTTGTCAGAAGTTGATGTCTGGACGCTTCGTATGGATTGCTGAAATATAGAAAGAGACTTGTAAATACTCTTGGCAACTCAAAAAACTTATAAGAATAGGTAATACAGTTAAAAACTAACTGGTCTCAAGTACAAGATCTATATTTCAAGGGAGTTTTATTTTATCTAATTATTCTAAATGTATGGATTCATTGCTGCCTGGTTTATATTCGATAGTATCTCAATGAGTTCTCAAATTGTTTCCATACAATATCAATTACCTTCCCTGAAATTGGTTTGACAATAACCTCGCAGCTGTTGGCTGAGCTTGCACTAGCAGATCTACTATGTGAGCCAGAATCCCTGCTGCGACTTCTGCATGTCACTTGCTCCTGCTTTCCTTCCGCATGTCGGCCGTTTTCGTCTGGTTTTAATCGTATAGCTGTATTTTCGCGACTTGCTTCATCTCGTATCTAGAGAAATAAAAAAAATGTAAATTATAGTAATATTTTAATAATAGTGATTAAAATTGTTACAAAAGAGCCTATATATTCCAATATTGAATATACTTTAATTATTTATATCGAATTTTACCTCATAAATATCTTCATAGTCGTTGCTCTGGTTTGATCCCCGTTCAGATGAAATATCTGAAGATGAAAGATTTTCATCACTGCCACTACCAGCACCACTACTACTAGAGTGCACATCTGCTTTCACTAAAATAAATTAAAAAATATTATAAATCATAAAATAATTTTAAATCTTTTTTGGAGTTTTCTCATTTATTGGCATTATTTAATTTGCAAAACAGTCATGGATCTATTAGTTTAGAACGTATTTGAAATAATTTTTAAGCGATGTTTTGAATGGGTTGCTAGTTGTTTAAATCATTAACATTAAGAAGCAGCAAGAAAGTATTTTTAATCTTTTTAATCTTCATATACGATTATATATACCAAGATAAGTCTTACTATTTCATTTTATGTTATCTATTAATTTCCCTTACCCGTAATTTGTCCTCTATTTCCAAACAAGTCCTTAACCCTGTTATATATAACATCTCGAGGGTGGTGTAAGTAGAACCCTTCCGGGGTCGCAAATTCAGAATTTGGTGTGTCGTCAGCCTCAGAGACTCCTATGGGGTTTACATAAAGCCCGTCTTGGGGCGCATGTGTTGTTGTTTGTGGTGCTGTTTCCGATTGAGTTGTCGTAATGCTGGATGGAGGATGTAGGAAAAACGGCTCTTGGTTCAGAGACGTGTCATTGTGGAGACACTAGAGAAATAAATAGCTTTTATTGGGCTCTTGACAATAATAAAAAATAGTTTGTGTACTTCAATTCTTAAAAAATACGAAATTATTATTTATATTCTTAAAAGATGCTTATGAATTACCCTTTCTTTAGAATCTTTTTTCGATGAAGTTTTATTGATTTTGATTGTGTCGTCATAGTCGGGTACTGCTCCGTGTTGGACCAGAACATTAAGGCACTGAAATAATAACATAATAATTAATATTTACATATAATAAATTACATAATTATGTTACAAAATTTGCTGTACAGCTACGTTCACTGATGATACATCGTTCTATAATAGTACAATCCAATTCGACTTACTATATTGTACCATAATAGTACAATCATGTCATTGGTCTCCATAGTACTAAGATCTACTACGTCGTACTATGATATTCATTGTTCATTCATGTTCATTGTTAATTCTTCATAGTACTACGACTTACTACGCCGTACTATGATAGTACAATCACGTTTATTAATAATTCCACATCGTACTACGACTTATTACCTCGTACTATAATAATACAGTCACGTTCATTCATAATTCTACGTCGTACTACGACTTACTACGTCGTATTTTGATAGTACAATCATGTTCATTGCTATTTCTACATCGTACTACGACTTACTACGTCGTATTTTGATAGTACAATCATTTTCATTCATAATTTTACATAGTACTACGACTCACTACGTCGTTCTATATTCGTACAATCAGTTTAATAGATTATTTTACATAGTACTACGATTTACTACGTCGTAGTATGATAGTACAATCACGTTCATTAATAATTCCACATCGTACTACGACTTACTACGTCGTACTACGATAGTACAATCATGTTCATTGTTTATTCTACGTAGTACTACGACTTACTACGCCGTACTATAATAGTACAATAATGTTCATTGATAATTCTACATAGTACTACGACTTACTACATTTTACTATGATAGTACAATCATGTTCATTCATGATTCCACATCGTACTACAATTTACTACGTCGTACTACGATAGTACAATCAGGTTCATTGATTATTCTACGTAGTACTACGACTTACTACGTCGTACTATGATAGTACAATAATGTTCATTGATAAATTCTACATAGTACTACGACTTACTACGCCGTACTATAATAGTACAATAATATTCATTGATAATTCTACATAGTACTACGACTTACTACGTCGTACTATGATAGTACAATCAGGTTCATTGAAGATTCTACATCGTACTACGACTTACTACGTCATACTATAATAGTACAATAATGTTCATTCATGATTTTACGTAGTACTACGACTTACTACGTCGTACTATAATAGTACAATCATCGTCATTGATAAGTTTACGTAGTACTACGACTTACTACGTCGTACCATAATAATACAATCATGTTCGTTGATAATCACGACTTACTACGTCGTACTATATTCGTACAATCATGTTCATTGATGATTCTAGATAGTACTACGACTTACTACGTTCTACTATAATAGTACAATCATGTTCATTGATAATTCTACATAGTACTACGACTTACTACGTCGTAGTAGAATAGTACAATCACGTTCATTGATGATTCTATATCGTACTATGTCGTAAAATATTAGTACAATCATCTTCATTGATGATTTTACGTAGTACTACGACTTACTACGTCGTACTACGATAGTACAATCATGTTCATTGATAATTCTACATAGTACTACGATTTACTACGTCGTAGTATGATAGTATATTAGTGACTATTGATTCATTGATTATATACGGTATTCCTACATATCTGATATGAGTGATTTTCAGATTACAATGCAATTTTTACTTAAATTAATTATTTTTTTCTGAGATCTTAATATGAGATGTCAACATAGACCTTACACTATAGTGTAGGTCTGTGGATATTGATGGGTGGTGATTATCTTTTTATGACAGCAAATAAGTTTTGTCAACAGCTTTTAGGAATTTGCGTAAAATAATTAAGTACAAAAATAATGCCTATAAATTGTCGATGGAAACAGAAACCATGTTATCAAAATAACTTACCTCGACTTGTTGGTTTTCCGCGGCGTCATTAATCGGACTTTTCCCGAAGCGATCGAGCTGCAACCGTGCTCCGTGCCGTAATAACCACCTGACGGTGTCCAAGTGGCCCCTCGAGGCCGCAAAATGCAGAGCCGTCGCCCCATCGCCATCTCTCAGGTTCGGATCGACACCTTGCTCTGCAATCTAAAAAAAAAAATTGAAATTATTATGTATAATTTTAATACAATAAAATTTGTATTTGAAAATCATACGTTTGATCTTATTTTCAATAATAATCTTACACTAAAATAAAATTATTTTTTCTTTGTCTGCATATTACTAACTTTATAAGTCTGTTACATTTAATACTTCATTTATCCCAAAGAAATTTTCATATCCGATATGCTTGTTCTACTTCTCCAAGACCTTTGTGTAGCAAAATAGAATAAATTATAATAGCAATATATTGAATATCTCGAATGAATCAAATTAATTCAGCGCACGGGATCATAACGGTCTTAAGTCCAATTATTACATATTTCTATACCTTCGTGTAAATGCACATTTTATGCAAATACATATATCGATACGTTCTGTTTATTCTGCTATACGTAAATCTTTTGTAACTGCTTAATTAATAAATTGTCGATGGTGCCAGAGAAAACAAAAATTCAATTTTCCATGATTTTCGATATTTACCATCCATTGCAAACAGGGCAGACATCCCATTTGACTAGCAGCATGGATTGGAGCCATGCCATCCCTCGCCCTCGCGTACAACGAACCTCCTGCCTCCAACACCAAGAACTTAAGTACGTCCAAATGGCCCTCCTGGGCTGCTAAGTAAACCGGCGTCACATCATTATCCATTTGAGTGTTGGCACTATAATACAAAGAAAAGGAATTACTAAAAGTATATTTAGGAATCTTAATACTATCATCTTGATGAGAAGAATGTTCATTGAGGTAACTCATTTCTTATTTTCAATATAAACAACAACAGCGAACATGCAAATATAATAGCATGTGCAAAGAGCAAAAAATTATTTATTAAAATATGCTAAATGTATTTCCTTATGAAAATTACACATTTTATACGTTTCGTCGTAATAGATGTTTATGTAAAATTATGTAGAGAAAACTTTAAGCATATATCACAAGTGAAGAAAGTATACGAAACTATTTTTTCTATGAATTTAATAAATCTTTATTGCGCAAGGGAATACTCATTCTGTTTAATTACTGTGAGTAATGAATATTTAATATTTTTGTAAGTCAGCAGAGAGTAGTTATTTATGTTTTATTTACAACTTTATCCGCTTTCTAACTGTAACAATTGTAAATGTAAAACACGTAACCGATATGTTATTGATGTAATCGTTCTTAAGCCATGCGTAGATTTATTATAAAAATGTTTTAAAAATATATTCTCAAAATTTTATTTATTTACTCCCCAAGAATAATATCTATTCAATAACAATTTTTATCATTAATAACCAGTAAGCTGAATCATAAGCATTTCTTTTTAGTAAGTAATTAGTTGCAGTATCTTTGGACAAAAAATATTGTCGCCTGCGCAGAATTTATTTAATCATTGAACCCATGGGTGTCACAAAATGATTTCCTTGCAAAATATAGATGATATTTATTTATAGTGATAATCTTTCATCCAGTCTTGCTGAATGCACACATATCGGAAAAACAGTTAACGAGCGTTGCATGATCCTGAGTGATGTTGATATAGCCGAAGAAGTAGTTTCCGTGATCGGCACAAACGGTTGCGGTCCAGTAATGGTAACAAGTTGTTAGAAATTTAGTTTCCGTGTGAATAAAATAGCATTATTTATTTTATTATATAGAGAATCTGTAGTCGGACAGACGTTCGGTCGGACAGGCACTGATTATCGCCGGGAGACCGATACGATACCAGATCGTATCGTCGGTCTCGGACACACCTGGCTGCCTGATTCAATAGGCAGACACTGTATTGATCTCGATATGGGATGAATATTCATTACGACTTTGTTAAAATTGATAATTGGAATAGAAAATATTAATTTATTGCTATTGATTACGATGCATTAAATATAACATCTTCTAAGTTGCAAAATTCTCAATTAATACCCATTCAATAGGGTGGTCCTTAATATGGTTGTTTTCGAATTTCGTTGCTCCCAGGGGCTCAATGCTTCAAAATTCATAAAAAAATCTCTGAAAGATTTAGCTCTTAATATCAACTTTACGATAGTCCGCACTCCGACCAAATGTTCTTGGTTCGTCTTCCTAATTAAATACTTATTTTATAAAATATATCAAATTTTTGCTGTAAATTTTTTATTTATAATCAGAATAAACAAATACAATGTTATTTTCAAAATTTTGATTTACTTGACATCAAGTTATAAAGTTCTAAAAAACAAGTGAAATTTTACCCATGTTATTTCCATAAGAACTTTGGTTGGAGTGCAGACTACCTTCAAGTTAATATTAAGAGCTAAAACTTTGAGAGATTTTTTTTATCATTTTGTAAGCATTTTAGCCCGTAGGAGCAAAGAAATTCAAAAATATCCATATTAAGGACCACCTTAGTATTCATAATATTCTTAACTCTTATTCTGATATTCCAGAATATAGATAGTTTTTATTTTAATTTATGGTGATACGGTTATTTAAAAGAAAACAAAAAAATAAGAGAAACTATAAATTAAGTATATTTCAATTATATAATAAAAAAAATGAGACAAAACACGTTAATGAATTTGCTATCCATATATACTTGCTAAAATCAAAGAAAAATAGCAAAGAAATCAGAAAATCGGTTCAACAGAAAAATAAAAACGAAAATAGATGATAAATTAAATAAATATTGAACATTAGTAATAAAGAATGGTTTTTATTTTAATTTATATTTAATGGTTTTTATTCAAGTAACTTTTTTGTTATTCCTTGATTCGTTTTATATAGATCTAAGGAACATCTTTACCAGATTCTAGAACCACAGAAAATACTTATTTAATTCAATAATATTAATTCAAGTTTCTTAAAAAAAAATGAGGCTTTCGGTTCAGGAAAATAAAATATGGTCATTGAGGAAAATATTGACTGGTAGACAAAGAAAAGCAAGAAATTATTAAGTCTAATATAATTAAAGAAAACTGAATAAATTATGTCAAAGATCTATTTTTCTGCGTCTTTTTTCCTTTATTATTGTGCTGGAGAAAAGCGTTTACGTGTGAAGAACTAACATTAGTTTTTCACCATGCAAGGCCGAGAAAAGGAATACCGGTTCTGATTAACTGACATATAAACAAGATCATACTTTCTAGTTTAAGCAGGATTTAAATATTGTTTTAATTTATTTTGTCACACCCAATTAAATTAAACGTAAGTGTACTTAAACTAATCATCGATAAATCGATTGAAATCAATATTAAAATGCAACTTGTAACAATATATATTTCAATTCTGAAATTCAATTATTGAAAGTAATCACATTTTGTAAATAAAACATCTAATTGAAACTCAAACTCGTTAAAGCGAAAGATCATAAATTTCCCAGTGCATTCATAATTGTATATAATCTTTTGATAGTTTTTTTTCCATTTAAGTAGAGAATCTCGATCAACAAATGGATCTAAAAAAGTAATCGATTTGACCTTATTGTGCAATCATTATTTTGTAATTATCTCAAGAATAATTGATCTCGAACCATCAAAATACTTTTCCGCGTGAAAGCTGCCGTCGAATTTGAATAGAACTAATTATTTATATAAAATTGATTCGCAAATAACGTTATCAAACATAATAATCAAAAACTGTGCTAAATGTTCCATTTAGAACATAAAAGATTAGAAATCGATGTTAAAATAAATTATTTGCAAATGCTATAAAAATAAAATTATATGCGCGTGTGCGGATAGTTAAAAAATCGAGGCGGAGAATGAAAAAAATATTGTCAAATTTCAAACATTTGCCAATTTAATAATGGTACATAATTAATTATATTAGCAAGTTATATACTACGATAGCATGAACTAATAATTTTCAATTATTTGTTGACATATGCTATTATTTCAAAATTCAGTTTCCTTAAGAAAATTTATATATAATTAAAATACAAATTTTCTAAAAATATGTAAAATCATTAATGTGAAATAATTACAATATAAAAAAGCTTTGTAACAATTTTATGACATCAGTTGTGAAAATTGTTGCTAAATGATTACTGACAGAGTAAAAGTTGTATAAGATCCTGTTTTATCATTATAATCATGGTAATCGCAAGATATAATATGACAAATTACCAAATAATTTCAGAAGTAAAAATTATACTGGCATTTTTAATTTATTTTTGAAGGTAAAAGATCTAGTATATGGTGAATGATTTGGTATGCCAATTGCCCGTATATATTAATTGATATATGGTTATGATAAATTGATTTATATATATATATATATATATATATATATATATTATATATATATGAATAAAATAATGACTAAATTTATGTAAGATCTAATAGCATGAAATTGTTATAAAAAAAGAAGCGCGACAGTTATAATGCTTGCATTTTAAAATTATTGTCTGATCATTACATAGGTATCTAATTCAATACATTTTTTCCAAAACATGTTTTAGAAAAGCATTACTAACTGCAATGTAGCGTTGAGTTCAGTTGTCAAAATGTCAATCAAATCTATAAATACCATTAGTCTTTTAATCAGTACCTCAGTAATAATGATGGACGCCCCATGACTCGCCTAATATTCGGATCCATTATTTTATTCCAATAATCCTACTCATGAACTTAATCAAAACCATTCAAACACCATCTCGCACTATTCAACAATGTGTTCACGATTCGTTTCCGATTCGATTAACAGTTATTAATTAATTTATAATAGTTAATAAAATAAAAACAATCACATGGATGAGCACCAGAACTGTTGTCAAAACACAAACTATTATTCGTATCGCGCGTAAGTAAAGTAACGGCCGTCGTCGGACAGCACTCCATAACGCGTACGAAACGCTTTTGACCCAGTACCATAAACTGGAGTAAATATTCTCATTAAACTATTAATTGTGCTGGAAAGGGGCAAGTACGGATCCATAGGGGGGAGGAGCCGATAGAATATATTTTACGCAAAATGTACACAACATGCGATTTCGTGTCGCTAACGATATAGTTTTATCGGGACGTTCCGACAATTAAATATTAGTCTTGAGATAATAAACTTGGCACAGTTAAAAGCGCAGCCAGACATGGAGAACGCCCAACGCCGAACGCCTAACTGCAATCTGCAGTTGGGTTGCTGCAGCTACTCGACGCTTAAAACAATATTTTTGAACGGTACTCTTTGGATTTTCAACATTTTATCTTTCTCTGGTTAGCAAAAATTTCAATCACGTTTCGGTATGTAATGGTCATTTCATTTTTATTTTAATTATGTTGCTTCTATATTTTAATCCTCACAGATACATTATTCAAAGATCAAGGAAAATTGATCAAATATCTATATTTGAGAACACACAAAACTTATCCAACGAGGTATTGACAAAAATCTGCTAATGAATTTAACTGAACATATCTAAAAAGGGGATATTCTAGTGTAGAAATTAAAAAAAAATCGTTTTTTTTTATTTCATATTTTCAAGGTTTAACTATCTAAAAATATGGGTACGAGAAGGTTTTTGAAAATTTGAATTATTTTCGGAGATATAGGCATTTTACTGACTCGGTCTCCATACTGGTTTGGCTTCACGCAAAACTTTAAATGCGTTTTTCTCAGAACAGACTTTTTCAGTACTATTGATACGATTTCTCGAGTTTTAATCGACCGATTCACTTGAAATGTTCAGAGAGTCTTGTTTATAGACCT